TTTCTTCCTCAACGCCAAGGAGTTTTCGTAAACAGAGATAAGCCACTTGCAGCGTTTTGTTGTTGAGCGGCACCATTCCACCGCCCTTAAGCTCCTCCTTCGTGTCCCTTTTCGATCTCTATCTACGGATACAGCCACCCTAACCTACCCAAACCTAACCATTTGTATGACATACATTTTGCCAGTCACTTTTCACTCAAAACTTTTGCTCTGGCCATCCTCTTTAACTTGAACAATCTTCTTATTCTGCTCAAAACAAAAGTAAATTTAAATAATACATAAAATCTTCGGTTGCCAGCAACATGTTGTGTAAAGTTGCAGCTGTAGAATATGAGAAAAGAGTCGGAAAAGTAACAAATGCATACATGCATACAACTCACATCAAAAACTGAGCACTTAACTCAACGCAATAAGTTGCGTATGCGACGTGTACCACCTCAGTAAAAGTCCTACCGGCGCAAAAGTCACCCGGCACAGGAAATATGCTACACAGCTGGCAATCAATGTTTATTCGAAAGTTTTTAGTATGCTTACAATGTACTATATAAGAAGAACAGCCAGGCATAAGCATCCACGTACATACATGCATACACTCACCAGAATATGTTTCCGTACAATGTTTTTTTTTTAATATTTGTAATGTTTTTCGTAATAATTTTTTTTTGTTAATTTTTAATAGAAATATAGTTCATTCTGCATCAAATAACACAAAATTTAATGATTTAAAAATTAGAAAAAAATTAGGAAAATTCGACAAATTTTCACTAAAATTTTAAACTTTTAAACAAAATTTTTTAGAATTTTTCGAGTATGCAGTTTTGTAGCTCACTCAATTTTAATAAAGTGCAAGTTTTAAGTGGCTATAATCTACCGTTGATTTTTGAGAATTTTTTTACTGACGCTCTTCGGCATTTTTTCAAATATAAAAAAAACTATCACGGATCCGTTATATGGAGAAAATGAGCAACATCATCAGCAAAAGTTTTAAAGTTGAAAATTTTGGTGAAAATTTGTCGAATTTTCCTAAATTTTGTAAAATTTTTTAATCATTAATTTATATGCCATCTGATGAAGAATGGACTATATTGCTATAAAAATTAACGAAAAAAAAAATATTACGAAATATTAAAAAAAAAAAAACACTGTACGGAAACATATTCGGGCTAGTGTATGTTGTTTGAGGTGCCGTTAAATGAAGGTCATGAATTCAACTGTGTGCTGGTCAGCTAACTAAGTGAGTACCTGACTGACTGCCTGATTCACTGACTGGCTGACTTAGTCACAGACTCACCACCCACTGAATGTTTGACTGACTGTTCGTGCATTTGACTGTTGCATTGCAAATTAAAAAGTTTTTTTTTTGTGTTGTGCAAAATTTTCATTCATTGCCAACTTGGTTCACAAACTGCAATTGTCCATAATTCCTCTGCATGTCAACAACACGGCACACGCACACACACACACACGACGCACGGACGATACACGCAGCCATGCAAGCCTCAATGCAATGCAGACTAGAAAATCTAAGATAAAATGTAAATTTAATAACCTGCAGAGAATGGAATTTGTAAAATCTGTTGCAAATTTCATAGAAGAGGACAGTTTGAGTAGAAAGTTTACGAATTATAAATACGTTATGTAATATATGTAAATACATTAAATACAGATGTAAAAGTGTCCGTGCAAACTTTGAGGTCTTCACCAAACACACTCTTCCGCCCACAGGTATGCTTTGCATGGCACAAACTTTTAATCTCCTTGAAAAGTTGCATCAGCATTGTGGCTTTTACTGACCGAGAAAGTTCGAGCAAATTTTACAATATTTTCTACCAACTTCGTCGACACAATGTACATAGATATGCGCGGTGTTTACAACAAAAACCACAGCAACAGCAAAAGGTGCATTAAAATCAGTTACAATTTGCAACAACGACAACAATAACCAACGGTATTGAGCAACAGCAAACATACCAAATGCAGATTGCAGCTATTAAAAGTTTTTAGGATGCAACAGAGGCAAAGCACCGAACAAAAATAAAAACAACAACAATGAAAATTGTCCTAAAAATGTGTTAATAAGTGACCAAACAGTTTATAGGCAATGGGAAGTATGCGAATTTGTTAAACAATGTAACATGCAAGTGCGAGCGCCTAAAAGTATGCATGCGAAATTAGTGAAGACAGTTTAAGTCGAGATTTTCGGGCATTTAGAACATTTATGAGCTGCTAACATTTTATTATTTCAATAAATTTTTATTCATTTCTTGAATACCGAAACCCCCAAAAGTATGCAACGAACGATTTGATAGTTACAGATTTCAGCGCCCGAATGTATGCGTTATTTAAATGAAACTTAAGGCACAAAGCCTTAATACTAAAAGCTCAAGTACATGCATGTGTATTAGGGTTGTGCTTAAAATATCAACAGCTAAATTTCGTGGGGCCCCCTTTATTTTGTTTTACGTACAAAATAAAGACAATTTCGACAATTTCAATATGTTAAACAAAATTTTTAGGAATTAGGAATTTTTGAAAAATATGGATTTAAAAAAAAACAAATTTTGGCTTGGAATATGAAAAAATTTGCATATTATTAAAACTCATTCACATAAATTCGTTATCTAGCAGCTCAATAGCACACTTTTGTAAAATTTTTGCGATAAAAAAAATTATAGTTTTTAAAAACGGAATTTTTTTATTTTGAAATTTTCGTGAATTTCTTTACATTTTACGTAGAAAAAAAATGAGGGGTGAGCCATAATTATAAATATTTTAAGAACCACGTTAATGTGCCTTGTTGAAAGCCATTATTTCAGGCTAAAATAAAAGGGCGCGGCGCAATACACAAAAGTATGCTATTTATAAACATATTTCGACTTCAGTGTCCTAAGCGCCACTTTTATAAAAACGTAGTTTTAGTAGTGATTTTAGGGAATGTGGAAATTCGAGAGACTAATATAGTTTTTATTAAAAAAGAATTGTTTCTTGAAAAATATGTGCCAAAGCGCACAAAAGTATACACTGTTTGTGAACAAATAACGATGTTTCTAAAAAAAAAAAGATATTATAAAAATTGTTAGAAAGCGAACCATTTGCTAGTTACGGGCTTGATCGTCTGAATGTATGCAATATTTTAATGAAACTCAAACGCAGAAAATGAATACATAAAATCTTTTTGATAAAAAATACTAGAATCCCACGAAATGTGTTTAACGCCTGCGGGTATGCAGTAAATTTTCCTAAAAGTTAGGAAAGGAGTGTGCAAATTAGCTTTAATTTTCAGTACTTGCTTCAATGGACATTTAATTCATTTCTTACCTAAAATGAAAGTAAAATTCCTCGCATATGCAGCTAAAGTTAGCAGTAAAACGGAGGTCAATTTCATAAACAAAACTTATAAAATAGGCACAGGACAAATAAAGAAATAGAACTGGTGTCTCTTTTGATACTTCCGGCAAATCCTAAAAGTATGCAAGCAAAAGTAAAGCACACATCTGAGTATTTTCAAAGATAGGCACTATATTTTTATCAAAAAAAAATTATATGAATAGTTACTCCACAAAAAGCAAACTAATTTNGATTTTCGGGCATTTAGAACATTTATGAGCTGCTAACATTTTATTATTTCAATAAATTTTTATTCATTTCTTGAATACCGAAACCCCCAAAAGTATGCAACGAACGATTTGATAGTTACAGATTTCAGCGCCCGAATGTATGCGTTATTTAAATGAAACTTAAGGCACAAAGCCTTAATACTAAAAGCTCAAGTACATGCATGTGTATTAGGGTTGTGCTTAAAATATCAACAGCTAAATTTCGTGGGGCCCCCTTTATTTTGTTTTACGTACAAAATAAAGACAATTTCGACAATTTCAATATGTTAAACAAAATTTTTAGGAATTAGGAATTTTTGAAAAATATGGATTTAAAAAAAAACAAATTTTGGCTTGGAATATGAAAAAATTTGCATATTATTAAAACTCATTCACATAAATTCGTTATCTAGCAGCTCAATAGCACACTTTTGTAAAATTTTTGCGATAAAAAAAATTATAGTTTTTAAAAACGGAATTTTTTTATTTTGAAATTTTCGTGAATTTCTTTACATTTTACGTAGAAAAAAAATGAGGGGTGAGCCATAATTATAAATATTTTAAGAACCACGTTAATGTGCCTTGTTGAAAGCCATTATTTCAGGCTAAAATAAAAGGGCGCGGCGCAATACACAAAAGTATGCTATTTATAAACATATTTCGACTTCAGTGTCCTAAGCGCCACTTTTATAAAAACGTAGTTTTAGTAGTGATTTTAGGGAATGTGGAAATTCGAGAGACTAATATAGTTTTTATTAAAAAAGAATTGTTTCTTGAAAAATATGTGCCAAAGCGCACAAAAGTATACACTGTTTGTGAACAAATAACGATGTTTCTAAAAAAAAAAAGATATTATAAAAATTGTTAGAAAGCGAACCATTTGCTAGTTACGGGCTTGATCGTCTGAATGTATGCAATATTTTAATGAAACTCAAACGCAGAAAATGAATACATAAAATCTTTTTGATAAAAAATACTAGAATCCCACGAAATGTGTTTAACGCCTGCGGGTATGCAGTAAATTTTCCTAAAAGTTAGGAAAGGAGTGTGCAAATTAGCTTTAATTTTCAGTACTTGCTTCAATGGACATTTAATTCATTTCTTACCTAAAATGAAAGTAAAATTCCTCGCATATGCAGCTAAAGTTAGCAGTAAAACGGAGGTCAATTTCATAAACAAAACTTATAAAATAGGCACAGGACAAATAAAGAAATAGAACTGGTGTCTCTTTTGATACTTCCGGCAAATCCTAAAAGTATGCAAGCAAAAGTAAAGCACACATCTGAGTATTTTCAAAGATAGGCACTATATTTTTATCAAAAAAAAATTATATGAATAGTTACTCCACAAAAAGCAAACTAATTTTTATCTACTCTCTTCCTTTCCCTCTTTTCATCCCCACAGATCGGCTCCTTCTTCATGATCAATCTCTGTCTCGTCGTCATTGCCACACAATTTTCGGAAACGAAAAAACGCGAAATGGAACGTATGCGACAGGAACGTGCACGCTATACATCCACCTCAACGCTGGCATCTAGCACGAATAATTCAGAGCCGGCTACGTGCTATGCGGAAATAGTCAAATACATCGCACATCTGTGGCGGCGTTTCAAGCGACGCATGTTAAAGAAGTACAGATTATATAAGTATGATTATTATATTTTTGATTTGATTTTATTTGTTTCGAATATACTTTCAGTTACAGTACTGCTAAGTTCCCAACCCCACAACCCCCGCAGAAATATTGAAAACAAACAACAAAAATTAGCGAATATTATGAACAGAATTTGTATATAAATGATAATAGATTTATGCTTAGAGCCTACTAACAAACCCAATCCCTTAAAGCGATAGCTTCATAACTTACATATAAAATTATATTCACTAACCGCTTTCTTTAGATCTTATAAACCTTAACAATCTGTCGACAGTAATACCGAGTTAATTCAATGAAGCAATCATTTTTGTGTCCAATTTGAATTGCCGCCTAAAAGTGGGCTAGTAACAATTTTGAAAGCATTTCGTGAGTCACATTCAGCTTGAAAAACCCATTTCGTGCCGTGTCAACTCACAAGTTCAATAACTTCACTTCATAATTCTGGAACTAAATATGCCGCATATATTTGCACAAAATTTTTAAAATATGTAGTTATATCTTTTGCAATTAGCTAACCCATTACCACAAAAATTTACCAAGCCTTAAATTATGCGCTAACATTTACAGAGCTTCTGTAGCACAGGCTGTAAGTAGGATTTTTTTAGTTTTTTTACTTCATTAAAATTAAAAGGCCAAAAATTAGCCAAAGAGTCTTACAAAGCTAGATTAAGTCAAAAAACACATCGAATTCTGCCTCACACTTGATGATAACAGTAATGCTTCCAAATATGCACTCTATAAGAAAAAAAATATTAAATTCGCCTAAATTATGCTATAGATTTTCCAAATCCATTTCTCTACAATTTCACGGGACACTGAATAGATTTTTTTTTTTCAAAATGGTGACACACCGACAATTTTTTATTCTTTTAAATTACACTTACGCCTAGAACTATGCTCTGAATTTTAGCAACGTTTTACAAATTCCTTTCCAGAATATATTGATAGTAATTTTCTAAATTTTCGCGTCTCTACGTATTATATAGGTACGTCTAAAGTTTTCCTTAAAAATTCTAGACAATTCATATAACTGACTTTCTAATTAAAAAAAAAAAACTTATTTTTCAAAGAAATCGAAAATTTCACGTGGATTAGTGACAGACACTTGTGGCTAAAAGCACGCATGTAAGGAGGAGTAGGCTTGGGGTGAACATTTATGGTAAAATTACGCATAAAAGTACCCACATAAAAAAAAATTATTTGAAAAAGTGAAAGCACCTGAAATTAGGCTAACAGCACCTACCAACCCAAAAAGCGTGTATAGCGCCTAAAATTATGCTCAAACGATTTCCCTGAGCTTTAATAGAAATGCTCGTATGGTAGGTAGGCAAAAAATTGGCATCCATATTTCTAAAACAAAAACAAAACAAAATAGCTATTAAGCTTACAAACCCCAAAATAGTATGTGTGGCGCCTAAAATCATGTTCCAAATTTTATTTTAAACTTTTTCTACAATAATTCGTTGAATTTCACCTACTACTTAGTAACCTTAAATTCGTATAATTGAACGATTTTACATACCGCAACTCATAAATTTTTAAACGCTTAAAAGTATGCTACTCGTAAGCTTCTTAGAGTGCCTTCAGAGTACACACACATTACAAACAAAAAGCTATGACAACGCTTAAAATTTAAAAGAAGAAAGTCTGTAAAAAGCCGCATTAGGCCGCTAAAATTATGCTTTTAGAAAAACAAGTCCAAAAAATAGGCTATGAAAATTAATAGCTCTTTATTCACACAAAATGAAATGCAGAATAAATTTTGCATTAAATAGCGGAGTTTTACAAGAATTGGCAGCGTTAACATCTGTTATTCCCTTAATGTGTATACAGCATATGTATATTAGAAACGTGGCAATTTTCAATCTGCTAAATTTATTACGCTTTGATTTTTTTGTGAAAAAATCTCTTTTTGCCACTTATCTGCCAAATGCCAAAAGGAAACTGGTGCCATTTTTAATGAAGAAATTGATATTTTACCAAAGCTGCGCCTAAAATTTATGGCACGAAAATCCCCAAAAAAATAAAAAGCGTAATTAATCGAGACTCTGAAAAACAAAACGCTAATAAAATGATTAAATACTCACGCTTTATGACTTAGTTAAACTTATTTTTAAAAATTTTTTTTGTTACAAATTTCATTTTTTTATTATCAAAATTTTTTGTTTTGTTTACGTTGCGAAATTTTTTTCGCTTATCACTTTGTCTGCTTGGTTAGTTCCAGTTAATTAAAAGCCATTTGCTTTTTGCTTAAGTACACATTTTTATTTATATTTTTATAATTTATTTACTTGCCTACTTAGGTATGTATGAGTTAAAAAAAAACACGAAAAAACTAGCGCACACTGCATGCATTACGCATTTATTTATTGATTCACAAATTGTGGTCCTTAGTTAGCGAGTTAGTTAGTAATAAAATATTTATTTAGTGAAATATTAAGTGCAATTTTTTATTTTTTTTTTTAAGAAAAGTATGAAATATTTTGAATAGGATTTTTGTATACACAAGCATTTTTGTTAACACACACACATACATACAAACATTGCATATGCACGCATTCATATTCATTCAAATTAAATTTTTTCTAAGCATTAAAGCATTCGTATGCGAGTGAGCAGGGAAAGCAAATGTAAATGAAAGTGGTGCAATAAAATTTGATTTGTGTAGTATTTTAATAAATTGGAAAAACTATTTTACAAAATTTTACAAATTTCTGGATAAAATAATATGAATTTTTTTTTTGTTGCAATTCTATCAACTGACTTTTGCGCACCAATTTTATACTCGTTTGCTTCCACTTATCATTTAAATTGGCACAGAACGATACGCACACATAAATAAATTGGTCTCTCTGTCAGATACCCTAAACCCACATCCATTAGGAAGTCCAAGAATGACGCTTGGATGTGGAGAAAATATGTGCGCTCGCTGTGACTCTGGGAAACCAAGAAATTTCTCGCGACTTCTTCTACAAGTATTTCTACACTCTAGGATAAGATGCGATGGTATCGGGGAACTTCTCAGTTATAAGTGTTATCGTAAAACTTTGTTCCATAACAGTTATTAGATGATAAATATTTTTTATTTGTCAATAAGAGTTATAACCTCAACGTTTATTTTTTACGTCGCGTGATGACTGTTATGCAGGAGAAATATGTTTTCGGTCGCCAATAAGAGTTATTTCCCAACGTCTATTTAATTGCTTGATAACAGTTATTACCCAATGTTTATTTTTACGTTGCCTGATACCAGTTATTTCACTCCTCCTCTTTTATTTTCATAATCTTATCTTTTTCTCCATCTCCGTTTTCGTCATATCTTACCTTGCAACGTTGATCAGGACAACGTAAAAAAGTAACGTTGGACAATAATGTTATCAAGCAACGTAAAAAATAAACTTGTGTCATAACTCTTATCGCGAAATGAAAGAAATTTGTATCTTTAACTTTGTTATAAAACAAAGTTTTCTTAAATTTCAGAATTCGGGCATCGTTTTCAAATTGTAAATTCGAGGCATTCGAGTTATTTTTGGTACCTCGAGTATCCTTGCTGAAGTCTTTAATGTCGTATTGACCCGCCGGAAAAGAGGCTGCAAATGTTGCGAATCTATCAGACTCCTGATTGCCCTAAATACCATTGCAACTTCTTTTAGTATACGGAGACTGAGGTCGAGGTTATCTCAGCCTCGTAAGAGAATAGGTTTTAAGTCATCTAAAAGACTGCGGTCTTATTACAGTACTTGGTCCCTGGCAAGTCTGCCTCTGCACACAGACTAATGGCGAACTTTTGGCAGGAAAAATATCCGAGTATTTCCTCTATTGTCACTGTTTAAACTTATAAAAACTTTTCCAATGGTCTGAAAATCGAACTGGTTTTTATGCACAAAATAATTGCTGCTTCTGCACCCTACGTCGATCTATTTGATCTCTGTTTGTCCAAAAAAACTTCTTGGGATTTTGTAGAGGCTCATCAAAGCAATATTTAGCGGTAAATCAATCTCCAAATGCAGCTATCAATTCCCTCCATCATAAGTTACCTTAGCAAGTGAAAGAGTTGACCACCAGTCGCAGTTCTTTTATTGGTATTAAATAGCTAGATTTGCTCAATGCTTGTGAGTGTTAATCGAACCGTTCTCGAAAGCATGCCAAAGCTTGAAAAGCCCAAGTTCTTTGATACGTCAGCCCAAACCGACCAACTGTTGTAGAACCAAATATGAAGAAGAAGTAGCTTCTCCGCGGGTTTTATTAGGCCGCCCTTTGAATTCAAGATAGCGCCGCATGTCGTTTTACCATATGGATCCCGTTGGTACGCAAGTTCAGAGTTCGCCTAAGGCTAACACAATATATTATGGAAAAACGGGTTTGGCTCTGATATATGGATTTACTGAAAGTAAACACACACGACTTTAATGATAACAATTTTGAACGTACCCGGAAAGCTACAGAAGCGCATGTTAGGCGAAGGAGTCAGACACCTTCATTGCCTCCATTAGTAATTAATTAAAGACCCACATAACTGAGCACATTTCAAAATACTCAAAGTAACAAAAGACGTATTACCACGCATATCATTATATTTTTATCAGCACCGCCACAACCCTGGCATATCATTCACCACATTCTTTTCACATCTGTTAATGTATGTATGTTTGTTTGTGCAACTGCTTGTTGCCATCCCACCACACCAACACATATTCAAAATCATCTCATTCACATTTCCAACCCACCAGACATTCAACACATAGCATAGCCAAATAGCTAGACAGTCAGCATTGTCAGACAGACAACCAATCAGTCAGGCATGACATACAGAAAGAAAGAAAAATATACGAAATAAGTTTATAAATGCAATTTGACACTAATATTTACACTTTGCTCTCTATTTATGCTTCTTTCATTCGAATCGCACAAAAAAAAAAACAAAAATGACAAATGACAAACACAAACACAAACAACAATGAAACAAAAATGGCATGCAAATTCCGTTCTCGCTACGCCTTCGACTGTGTGTGCATTGCCGGCAACACTGCACAATGATATGGCGAATAAAATGACACAAATTGTTTGACTGACAAATATGGCTGGATGTATGTGAAATGTCAACTAAATTCCACTTGTGTGCTTAAACACACACGCGTCACTTGTCATCTGTCAACTGTCATAAATTGACTACAAAATAATTGAAAACCATGACTCCCACCAGATATCAGAAACAACAACGCAATGAGGGTCTCCTCCCCAATGCCGACAATTTGACCTTTTCGCCGTCGCGCATCAAATGCCATCACGCGAAGTGCCCTAAATATGGCAATCGGAAGCCGTCGAGCATACAGGATCAAATGATCACCGTTATGGTGCCGTTAAACTCGAATAATAACAATGTGAGCAACAGCAGCAACAACAATAATAATGGTGGTGGCGGCGGCGGTGTTGGCAACGCGGCGCGTAATCATCAAGCGGCAGCGACTTCAACAACACCAGCCACAATTTTAACACCAACCCCACAAGCGACAACAGCAACAACAGCTACGGCAGCACTCACTTTATCACTTAGCGCCACATCGACACCGGCCACTACACCGCTCGTGAATGGCGGTAATAGCAGCACTGGCCTGCGTAATAACATCAATAACAACAATGTGAGTGTTGTCGGTCAGCAGCAGCAGCAGCAGCAGCAACAGCAACATTCCTCTTCCGAGAATTCTGTGCAATCGCTGGAGCAAGCGACGCGCAACTCGAATTTGAAGAAGTCGGCAAATCACTTGGCACCCGAAGCGGCGAAGCAGCAGGCGCAAGGTCAGCAGGCGGGGCAACAGAAGACAATTTTGCTGAAATTTCCCTCGAATGCCGAATCGGAGCAATTGATTGTGAGTTTTTTGTTTAGCTGAATGTTGCGTTAGTAGAGAATTTGTTAGCTAAAGTTTTATTTAATGAGGCACGATGATTTAGAGAAAAAAAATTTTAAATTTGCTAATCTTGAAAGAATGAATAAAGTTCTTTGGATCATCGTGCCTAAATATTTGATTCTCTTAGATAATACACAATATTTTTTTAGAAAATAAGTACACAAATTTATACCTCTTTAATATAGACGTGCTTTAGAGCTTCTGCAGACACACTATCCACCTTTTTCACAATCTACTATGTAGTATTAGAAAGGAAATGCACACTTTTTTACTAAAATTAAAAAATCAAACAAAACACTTCGAAGATTTTTTTAAGAATATACATACATTAATTAAAGAAACCATTTTTTTGGGAAACGGAAGAAAAATATTAAAGAAATGATAACAAAATTCAAATCCGTTCAAAAATTGTATGCAAAAAAAAATTGTATTTCTTCTCAGAAGATTTCCTAAAAACAAGCAAAACCACTTAGAAATTTTATTAGAAAGGGAAAACGGAAATGCTTTCCAAAAGAATTTTTTGCATGAAAATATCGACATAAGGGGAAAGACTCAAACCAGATTTAATAATATAATATTTAAGTAAAAATTAATAGTAACCATTTTTAGTGACAAAAATTACGGAGTTTTTTTTTAAGAAAATAACCTTTTTTAAAGAGAAGAAACAATTTTTGGATGTCTATTAGAAAGAGATGCACAAATTAGTTGGAAAAAAATATATTTTTACAAAGAAACAACCCTTGCATAGAAACAAGAAATTCATTTTTTCATATATTTTTCAGAATATAAAGTAGGAACGCCTTTGGTAAGGAGAATAACTCTTAAAAAAAATGTCTGACAGAAACATAATGAAATAAAAATTTTCTAATCGAAAAAAATTATTTTTTTTTTTAATTTTTCACAACATATAAAAAATTAAGGCAAAAATTTAAAAAAGACAAAATTCAAATATTTATATTGAATTTTATTTAAAAAAATAAAAATTATCTCAAAAGCTCAAAAAAGGAGTATATTTCTCAATATTACAACTTTTATACAACTTCAAACTTTTATAAAAGAGAGATTCTTAAAAACGTGCATCCAAAAAGATTTCTTAAGTGCGCGTAATTAGTTAACATTTTCTTAAATAAAGACAATCTTTAATAAGGGTACATAATTTTAGAATATTAGGAAAAAATTTAAAATTTTAGAAAAAGTTTAAAAAAATTTATAGAAGAATTTTTTCTCTTAAAGTGACTTCATTGCTTAAAAATGCCTTTCGAAGTATTTCCTGAAAACGACTGTAAATATTTCTCGAAATTTCCTTAAATATTTTTTAAATGTATTTTGCAGAAAATTCATTACTCTACAAAATGTTAAAATTTATTGTTTCTTTTTAAAATGCTATCTTTATTAGAGAATATTTTGCGAAATATAATCGTATTTTAGGAAGTGTTCATGAAAGTGCTTTGTTTAGAAAAATATTAATTTTATTACAGAAATTGCAAAACCAATTTTTTTATATTTATATTAATTACAACAAAGTTGGTCCTTTCAAAAACATTCCCTAAAATACGAGTACATCCCGCAAAATACCCTTAAAAAAAGACAAAAAACTTTCAAATTTTTTAAGAAAATCTTTCTGTTAAAATAGAATCCTGAAACGAAAATCCCAAAAATATATTTCCCGAATAATTTCCTAGAAAATTAAAAAGCAGTAAAAAAGGATTCTTTTTTTATTTGTTAAGTAATTTTTCTTTTATTTAAATAATATTTTTATGTAAAAAATTCCTTCTAATCATTTTCTTGGAAAAAATTTAAAAATAAAGAATTCAAAAAACATATACATACATATGTATGTATATGAAACCAAAACAAAAATCTTGTCACATTTTTTCATAAAACTTTTTTAAATTCTTTCCCTTAACAGTTCCCCCAAAAAAATGTATTCCATTAAAAAATCCAAAGATAAGATCTTATTTAAAACAAAAGATTTGTCTTAGAATTAATAAAATTTAGAGAAAAATTTAAAGCAACGAATTTCCTTCATCCCGTGACAAGTTTGGTTTGGACACAAACCGGTTTCGGCGTTGTGCCAAAAAAAAAACAAATTTATTTGTACCATAAACAAAATTTCTGTTTGTTTATTTAAAAAGAAAACAAGCTCTTTAAATTGCGCTCCTAACAAAAACAAAAAGTATTTCCTAAATTTTGTGATGAAAACTATTTTAGATTCCTTAGCCTGTTTTAAGAAATAAAATATTTTTCAAAAAAAAAACAAATTTCTTTGAAACTATTTTTTCACCAAAGAAAGTGTTTTAAAATTATTTTTAGCAAAAAAAAAATATTTTGAGATATTTTTTATTTTTTTTTTATTAGTTCATTAAAAATTTAAACACGTCCTGATCATGTTTTGAGAAAAAATAGGGCTTTACTTTAAACATTTCTGCTAAAAAAATTTAAACATTTTTATTCAAACAAAAGCTCCTTTAAGCAAAAAAATAACATATTTAAACCAAAAAATATGTGGTAGAATTACTTCTGTGATTATATGCTTTCAATAAGAATTCTCAGCATAAAAAGCCACAACAAAGTACACACTTCAACTCCACTCTGTAAGAATACACCAGGGCTCTAGGTTCCACACACACCACTGTTCTGTACAACTTCCTATTTAAATTTAATTTTGAAGGTTTCTAAAACTTTTTCTAAAAAAAAAATTGTATTGATTACACACCAATTTAGCTGCAATTGGGAAACTTGGGCAAGGTATAGATAGCATAAGTTAATTTGTGAATGATTTTAAAGTTCGAATTTGTTTTTGCAATACGTTTTCACACCTGAACTTTTTGCTTTATAAAATCAATGTATATACAAAACCAGCCTTTTTTACAATTGCAACCCATTTTTTGAAATAAATCACAACGTTTTGAAATGTTTGCGAAGTCACCAAGTTTTCCAAAGTCCTAACAGTGAAATGAGTTCAAGATTTTGTAAATAGTGAAAATTTCAAAACACAAGCGCTTTCATCTGATCCTTAACTGCCTGTATTTGAAAACATGCTCATCAAATAATAAAATCGAGATCAGCTTTATTCAGTTATTTACATGCTTAAGTATCTGTAGACCTAACTTAACTTTTTCTACCCCTCAAAAAAAAAAATCAAACTCTATTTTAAAACTGCCCACCTTTTTCGCATAACGTTTGCTATGACCCCTCAAAAATTTTAAATCATTTTAATAAATATTTCAGTATATTTCATTAATCGATCTTCTCTCCTTCTACAACATTTCCATGCCTTTTTGTCTTCTTTATTTTTTATTCTTTTTATACTTGTTTTTTCGTTTCCTGTCTCCTTGTTGCCCGTTCATCTCCCCTCCGCAGAGTAATCCCTGTACCTCGGGCTTCCTCAGTCCACCCACATCGGCTAGCCGTCGCCCATCGGTGATGTTCAACGAATATGTGTTGCTGCATACACCGCCCGCAATTAGCGAATCGTTAACTGTCGCAAATACAACAACAACAACAAATGTGGTGAAGAGCACAGTGTGCTCGTCGGAGAAGATGACACAGGCCGGTGATGGCAGCATATGGCAGGTGAGTGGCGGGTGGGGAGTTTTCATTTTGAAACTATATTTTATTTTATGAAAACGAGTTTAGGTTAGTTCTTTTATTTTTTCGCATTCTTTTAATTTTTTAACCACTGCCTCCTCTTTTAACATATTAAATTTTTGAATTCCTTTCGGTTCCTCTCATTATGCTTCGCTACTTTTCCGGTTTTTAGTATTTATACGACAATACTTTAAATTTTACGTTTTAAAGCTGTTTCAGTTTCATATGTGCCGTTCTATTTCCCATTGTTCCCAGTTTTTATTCATTCCACGAAAATCTCTTTTTATCAGTTTGAAATTAGTCTCATTTTGCTAATTTTTATTAGATTTTTATTCTAATTTATTTTACTGTGTACCATTTCCTCTTTGTTCCTCTCTTTACATCCCTTAAATTTTCGACGAATGTATATTGAGTGTTATACTAAATTTTTTTAAGACTATACGTGTTTCAGTATGTTCCATATCAATCTTTTACGTTCGTTTTTAATTTGTTCCTTTCGGTTGGTCCAATACTTAAATGCTATAATAAACTGTATGAGACCTCGTACATGTTCCATTCCTTAACCAACTTGTTTATTCGTTACAAGATAATGTTTATTTACTGTGTTAAGTTTGTTTTTATTTCATTAATTTTTCTTTGACTTGTTCTCCCTTATTTTTACTCTGTTCCATTTTCTCTTCATTCCTCTGTTTCGCTTCATCTACTTTGCAAAACATATTTTTGTGTTCCTATAGATATAGTGAAATCTCTGTGTTTAAGTATATTCAATTTAAATTTGTTCCGTTACTTTCCCATTTGTTCCTTTCTTTTGAAGTTTCTTTGAGCACTTTTAATTTAGTGTACGTTTATGAGCTATTCGAATTTGCATGCAATCAATCGAAATTCGAAACAAATATTGTTTCCTTTTTTCTCTGTTACATGTCAAATATTTGAAATTTTACTGGATTCCTATAAATTTTCTGATTGACAATTAATGTCTATTCAATCAATTCTAGTTCCATTTCGTTGTATTTAGTCGTTTCATTCGCTTATTTAGTACCTTTATTCCGTTTTGATTGACCAGCTCTCATTTCCTAACTTCCATTCATTTCATTCCCTTGATGTTCATATTCAATCATCAATTTATTTCGCATTTTTTCATTTTATTTCAGCTCATTTAATTTCACTTTCATAATTTCAGCTNTATTTCCTAACTTCCATTCATTTCATTCCCTTGATGTTCATATTCAATCATCAATTTATTTCGCATTTTTTTCATTTTATTTCAGCTCATTTAATTTCACTTTCATAATTTCAGCTCACTTCACTTTACTTCACTTTGCTCCATTTTATTTCACTTCGCTTCGCTTCGTTTTAATTCACATTCATTTCAATTCACCCCATTTGGTTTTCCGTTCTCGGTTCTTCAGCCCAAGCCTTTATACAACTATTTCACTCTATTTTTTCCTCTCTCTCTCTCTCTCTTTCACTCTCACCCCATTGCAGGTCAATCTCCCCCAAACGATCAATAGCGGCGGCAGCACCATCGCCAATCCCTACGCCGATTGCTCCGAACTCGGTATACACGACGCGATGACATGTCAAGAGCTTTTAGCATTTTCTGTGGCCTTTTCAGCGGCCCTGCCCACCGGTCAAAGTACACTGGAATCGTTTTACACCTCGTTAGCGCGCTGCGATCCGCACACAGCCGAAGCTTTGAAAAATCAACATAACCGTCAGCAAACACAACTTATCAAACAGCAGCCGAATGCATTGGTTATCAGCGATCGCCAGTGTAAACGGCTGGATAATAATAGCACCGCTTTGGCAATCACCAGTAGCGCTGGCAACAACACCGCCATCCCAGCGACGGGCAACTACATCGAAGACTATTCTTGTTGCTATGATTTATATCAGAATGCACTTTCTCCGCTCGGCGAAAAGAAACAACGTTCGAAAGCAATTAAAACGCTGATAAGCATTTATCGCGCCATAAATCGCGTTTGCGGTGTGATGCGACGCTACATAAAGTTGCTGGTAGAGCATAAATACTTTCAACAGGGCATACTATTGGCCATTCTCATCAACACACTCTCCATGGGTATTGAATACCACGAACAGCCGGAGGATTTGACCGCCATTGTGGAGAAGAGCAACATTGCCTTTTCGGCGATATTCGCTGTGGAGATGTTGTTGAAAGTGATCGCCGATGGGCCATTCCGTTACATAGCGAATGGTTTCAATGTGTTCGATGGCGTCATTGTGATACTAAGGTGAGTTGCTGATGAGTTTTAATTGGATCTTCTTTATCAATCTTAAGTACAAAGCATGCTAATTTCGTGCCAGAATGGTCATTGTTAGGTATTAGGTATGTAGATCATGCAACTAGGTTTTTTCTCCGTCCAATCACTTTACCTCATGATCTATCCAACCCGGATGGTTTCCATAGGACAAGCGCAAGATGGAGTCCCTTGGTTCAGTGCCATGTGAGGTCGATTGAGTCCTCAATTAACTTGCAAGTGTAATGTTAAAATCAGAAATTTGTTCCATTCTGTGAACTAAACACGCCATTTTTCGTAAGTGCATTTAAACTCAGACCAGCCAAGCTTATTGATTTGAACATTATTCATTTGGATCTTTATAGTCAAACAGAAACCGGCGAGACGCCTGTCTTTATAGACGAATCCCTATGACCTGATATCGTTCCTTCGATAGTCGGAAGGTACCTTTCGTATTGAGATTGGAAACATTTCCTAGGTTACGAAAGTCCCCTTAGGTCGCAGTGTCTCTGACTATTTTCTGTTAATCCACCTTTAAGATGCGTCTCCAGCATTGTTGGATCACAAATGAACTAAGACGTTCCCGGGTATATGCGGTAGTTCTGTGTACCTGGCCAGTTGCAATTTACTCCAAATAAGTTTCGCAAGTTTTCCATGTAACTCCCAATCACTATCTCCCTAGTTCTTTGAAGGACCGCAACAGTGAAGTTCTATCAAAACGTTGCAAAATTTCGATTTGTTACGCTATGAAAAGAACTATCTAGCTAAAGTACGTCTTTTTCCGTGGGATCAGTTCCAATTAATCTTGGGGATATTTCTCTAAATATGTTCCTGTTAGGAACAGACTTATGCAGGCTTAGGACTTCGATTTAATTCTCGTCACAAGATCACATAGAGCGTCATTACAAAGCTGAACCACTGCACTCGATGTTGGACAGACTGACCTTAACGAGTTTAAACGGGAGTCAATCGCCACGTTTGTCAACTCTCTCACAGTAAATGCCGTCAGCGGAGTTCAACCACCTCAAGATTCCTCAGAGAGATCAGTGTGAGACTGGCGCAACTAAGATCTGCATACTTTATTAGGCCAAAATCGATCCCCGATATGGCCAACTTATTGCGAGGATGTAAAGTTTCCACTAACGGCCTCCTCACGTGCAACGAACGAGTTATTTGCACGGCTAATAGCACACACAGTCAGCTTAACTAACAGTACATGTAACCGAAAGATTGCGAATAGAGCGAACTCAGCCAATAAGTACATACAGAAAGCCAAGCGCTCTGCGAAATATATTCGTTCACTAACCCTGCACTCACTGCACTTATTTAGCGACTGGTGCGGCATTTACTCCAAGTATCGCCCACTGACGCAAGATATCAGTATTCTCCATAGATAAATTGGGGAGCGCACGCTGTACTTGGACGAGCGATCCAACTTGTTTAACTACTTATGTAAGAAGAATAGAGGTCACAGGACTAATAGAGGTTCAAGGAAGGGTTATCGCTGCTTATGCAGACCTCCCACTCATATTTCTTCTCTCTAGCCTTGGGAGAACTGTCGTTGCTACTGGACGCCACCAATTTCGGCACCCCGATTTTAGTGAACGAATACGGGGACGGCATTGCCGTACGCTGTGTGCTTCCGCGTAGGTAATTTTAACGAGTAGTTTTCGAAGATTACCAGCGGTGGATTGTCGTAGGTCATCATCATGCAATATTAGTCATCAGAATTAATGAATCGACAAGCGATCAGCGATCCCCGCAAAGTTTTCTGGTGCCAAAAGTGCGTCAAATGAATCTTTCATCGAAGCCTGGAGTAAGTTTTGCCGATGCTGTTGTTGTTTTTGTTGTTGTAATAACATACAAGTTCCCCAAAAGATTTTTTGGGAAAGATGCTGGAGTGACAGTCCTTGGTCAGATATCAATATGGGTAATTCCGGTTATGTAGAGCCGACAGTCGCGAGAACGATGCTGTTTATTTAACTGGTTCCACAAGACAATAATCAGGTGCATCCACTGGCTCTCACCAATAGTTGAGCCACCGAAGGTCCATCAATAGATTCACTGCCAACGAGGGCCACCAATACCGAGGTCAGTCGCCATGACTCTCCCTCTTCGCTACTGCCAGTTGTCAGCTCGCTCACTGCGCTACAGAGAAAACAAATTCCGATTGCATTCCAAGACGCAATCCAGAGGATCTAATACCTTTGTACGTAGTGGCTAAAACTTTTAAAAATTTCTTTGTTTAGCCACCCAAGGTTTAGTTTTACTTCTGTTGACTACAAATTTTAATTTCTGTTATAGAAAATAGTAGTCCCCTCGAAAAAATACACTTCTCCACCCAACGCTTATAGTGAACAAATTGAAATAGCATTTTACGTTGCAAAGCTTTTGCATAAATCAACTAAGTTGTGAATGAATTTTCCGACAGCAAATATATGCATATACATACTGCTTTCTATGCTCAACAATAAATTTCATGACTATGCAAATTTGTGGAATTGCCTTCGACACAGCCACCCGCACGCACATAGCATCAGCGAGTAATATTTGCTAGCAATTCACGCCTTAACGCGTCAAACTAGAACTACCAATACAAACTCACGCGCACAGTTCTACTAACACACTCAAATCACAAATATATGCATTTGAATGCAGCCATGCTGACTGCCGGAAAAGCGCACCATTCCTCTTTTTTTTTTTTGATTTTTTTTGCGAACGCTGCAATGCATTCTGCTCATGCAAATCCTTGCTACTTTGGCGTGTTGAAGCAGTGATAATTTCACTGTTGACATACGATTGCCGAAGATTTAGATTGCTGTGGTGCGCGGGTAAAAGGGCCCAGTTGCCGTACTTGGCAGGCGGAAGCACAGACACACAGATAATAGCCATGTAACACTTCTCGACGCTATCACAAGTTGGCTGCCGTGCTATTGTCATCGGCTGGGANCGCACGCACATAGCATCAGCGAGTAATATTTGCTAGCAATTCATGCCTTAGCGCGCCAAACTAGAACTACCAATACAAACTCACGCTCACAGTTCTACTAACACACTCAAATCACAAATATATGCATTTGAATGCAGCCATGCTGACTGCCGGAAAAGCGCACCATTCCTCTTTTTTTTTTTGTTTTTTTTTTTGCGAACGCTGCAATGCATTCTGCTCATGCAAATCCTTGCTACTTTGGCGTGTTGAAGCAGTGATAATTTCACTGTTGACATACGATTGCCGAAGATTTAGATTGCTGTGGTGCGCGGGTAAAAGGGCCCAGTTGCCGTACTTGGCAGGCGGAAGCACAGACACACAGATAATAGCCATGTAACACTTCTCGACGCTATCACAAGTTGGCTGCCGTGCTATTGTCATCGGCTGGGACTATGTGTGTGTGTGTGTNGTGATAATTTCACTGTTGACATACGATTGCCGAAGATTTAGATTGCTGTGGTGCGCGGGTAAAAGGGCCCAGTTGCCGTACTTGGCAGGCGGAAGCACAGACACACAGATAATAGCCATGTAACACTTCTCGAAGCTATCACAAGTTGGCTGCCGTGCTATTGTCATCGGCTGGGACTATGTGTGTGTGTGTGTGCAACAGGCGAAAAGTAGAAACCAAAAGCAGTCAAAAAACTAGAATAAAAAACCCAGACTGCTAGCGAAGGCATTCAAGCGCCGCTGAATGCGAAAATTGTAATGGAAAGTGGAGGTGGAAGCTGTGTGTGAAATTAGTATTGCTTGCCAAACATATGTACACTTGTATGGATATATGCATATGTAAGTCTATGCGCAGTCAACAAGTTGAGAATATGTTGGCGCTTGGCTGCGCTGACGATAAATTGGTGCACGGCATGACAGGCGTCGCCGTACCGCGGTNTATACATATGTACACTTGTATGAACATATGCATATGTAAGTCTATGCGCAGTCAACAAGTTGAGAATATGTTGGCGCTTGGCTTCGCTGACGATAAATTGGTGCACGGCATGACAGGCGTCGCCGTACCGCGGTCCTACGACACTACACACTGCCTTGCAGCAACATGTACATAGATGTTGNCGCTATCACAAGTTGGCTGCCGTGCTATTGTCATCGGCTGGGAGTGTATGTGTGTGTGTGTGTGTGTGCAACAGGCGAAAAGTAGAAACCAAAAGCAGTCAAAAAACTAGAATAAAAAACCCAGACTGCTAGCGAAGGCATTCAAGCGCCGCTGAATGCGAAAATTGTAATGGAAAGTGGAGGTGGAAGCTGTGTGTGAAATTAGTATTGCTTGCCATATACATATGTACACTTGTATGAACATATGCATATGTAAGTCTATGCGCAGTCAACAAGTTGAGAATATGTTGGCGCTTGGCTTCGCTGACGATAAATTGGTGCACGGCATGACAGGCGTCGCCGTACCGCGGTCCTACGACACTACACACTGCCTTGCAGCAACATGTACATAGATGTTGGCCGCTGTGAGCGTAGGCGACGACATGCTAGTGACCAGGCTAGTTAAGAATGTGCATGAAGTGGTAGTTTTGTGGTAACCTAAAAATGTACATTATTTTCGGCTACTATGCTTAAACATACATATGTATGTACGTAGTTATGCATCCAAGTGAGTACTACTACTACAGTTCTAAATGGCACGAATTTTTCACATTTCAAATTAACTTTGTATGAATTGTTTGTATAACGTTGAGCTATGTTTGCTATGAATTGCTTGGTTAGCCACACATGGCGTATGAGCAACATTTGAAATGAGAAATGCATGAGCCACATATACATATACTTACATACAAACAAATATACTTCCATACATGCATTAAATCCACATTACTTTAAGTTAAATACTATAATTATTTTATGAGTTGCATATGTCATACGAGCTAGACGAATTTCATAAGTCAGGCAAGGCGTAAAAGTTGCCCAATGCGTATGAGTGATGTATATAGAATAAATGCAGAGGTCACGAAACAGCTTTATGCTGTCTACAGGAAATTAGTTATATTAATTGAAATTGCATTTAATCGACCATAGTTCGTATATTCCGGAAATACTTCCCTTACCTAGCCTTCNAATGGCGTATGAGCAACATTTGAAATGAGAAATGTATGAGCCACATATGTACTTACATACAAACAAATGCACTTCCGTACATGCATTAAATCCACATTACTTTAAGTTAAATACTATAATTATTTTATGAATTGCATATGTCATACGAGCTAGACGAATTTCATAAGTCAGGCAAGGCGTAAAAGTTGGCCAGTGCATATGAGTGATGTATATAGAATAAATGCAGAGGTCACGAAACAGCTTTATGCTGTCTACAGGAAATTAGTTATATTAATTGAAATTGCATTTAATCGACCATAGTTCGTATATTCCGGAAATACTTCCCTTACCTAGCCTTCTTGGATGCTAATAAACCAACTTGGTATAAGTTAGATATCAAAAGTGGGTCATGCACCGTTGCCAATTTTCACTATCACACTTTCTGCAGGGGTTTACACTGTCTAGCAGAGGTTTGGGTAAATGTTTGCGCAAGAAATCTTCAACGCATGAAAAGGAATCTAAAATATATGCTTCAATAAAAACATGTATGGTAAAGTTATTTGCAAAGTTGCCATTTTTCTCAAAAGCTCAGATTGGCAGAAGAAGGCAATTAACTTTAAGCATTTCACGGCGAGTAAGGCGCATATAAAAAATATTTTTGCTTTATGCACAATTCCACCGATTTCCTCCTAAATATATTGCTACGTTGCCCATTTTTTGCTGCAAGCTTTGTTAAATTGGCGGAGGAATTCCGCAAAAGTTTAGTAAAACGTTGAAAGCTAGAATTGAAGCTTTAGTAATTATATGGTCAGCATTTTACAACGTTGCCGATTTTCAAAAGCGCAGGCTTTCAGTAAAGAGTCCATGAAGTTTGAAAAATTATATCTAAGCCCTAAAGAGAATATTGGTCCTCCTCTTCCATCTGAAAATAAAGGATGTTTTATTTGTTGTACTGCAATTTTTTTTCGTAAAATATTGCCGTTTAGACCGAAAGTTATTTCCTTTTCAATTTTAAAAACACATTTTCGTAACAATATCGTTTCTTTTATTGAAAAAGAAAATTACAATAAATTATCGCTTAAAAAATTTGCATTAAAACATCTGAAACGTGACCTATTTTCAGTGGCTCACACCCTTAATAATTCTAAGCCCATGACTGCCGAGGCACATATACTAAACTTGAAAAAATTTTTTAAGAAATCATGCGGCATTTTGGAATAAATTGTTTACTGCGTTGCCAATTTTCATTTACACACCCAGTTAATTTAAAATTTTGAAAATATATTTTCGTAAGAATATCGCTTTAAATTAACAGAATTAAAACGATAACTTTAACAATAGAACTTTTGCCACGTTGCCAATTTTCAATAGCTCGGACTGTTATTAAAATTAAATCTATGTTAACTTAATATTATTTGTCAAGCATAAAAATGTGTTGATGGAGGAGTCCAATTTTGTAATATGTTTATTTTTTTATCAAACTTTTTGCCAATTGCGATGTTGCCAAATTTTACCAAATTTTTATTCCAACATTTATTTAGCTTAAATATGAAAAAAGAATTTCGAAAGAAAATTTATTCATACTAATAAGTTTTCTGTGGCAAAAATTTAAAGCTTTATAAGTGTCCAAAGAAACATGTTGCTGTGTTGGCAATTTTCTATCGAAAATTTTAATTCAATTAAAAATACAGTTTCGCAGCGCTTACAAAAAAAAAAAAATATAAATAGTATCTTTAAAAATGTCTTCCGAAAAATTTTTGCAACGTTTCCAACTTTCACAACTTTCAAACTTTTATTAGAAAGAAATATGCATAGTAAAAAATATTGGTAGAGATTATGAAAAATATATATTGAAAAGTGGGCCTAAAATTTTTAATATAAATGCCCCGTTGTCAGTTTTCACCTACAAATAATTTCTTGCTCGTTTGTTGTCAAAAGAAACTTGTACTACCAGTTTCAGTTTCACGAAATTTAAATTAAGTGTTTGGCGGGGTGTGTACAATTGGCAGTAATTACAACTTAAGGTTAATTCCCTCCCAAACTCCCAAAACTATAAAACCAGAAANCATTTGCAACGTTGCCATTTTACTCAACAGCTCAGATTGGCAGAAGCATTTCACGGCAAGTAAGGCGCGTATAAAAAATATTTTTACTTTATGCACAATAAATATGTAAGCCCTAAAGAGAATATTGGTCCTCCTCTTTCATCTGAAAATAAAGGATTTTTTATTTGTTGTACTGCAATTTTTTTCGTAAAATATTGCCGTTTAGACCGAAAGTTATTTCCTTTTCAATTTTAAAAACACATTTTCGTAACAATATCGTTTCTTTTATTTAAAAAGAAAATTACAATAAATTAGCGCTTAAAAAATTTGCATTAAAACATCTGAAACGTGACCTATTTTCAGTGGCTCACACCCTTAATAATTCTAAGCCCATGAATGCCGAGGCACATATACTAAACTTGAAAAAAAATTTTAAGAAATCATGCGGCATTTTGGAATAAATTGTTTACTGCGTTGCCAATTTTCATTTACACACCCAGTTAATTTAAAATTATGAAAATATATTTTCGTAAGAATATCGCTTTAAATTAACAGAATTAAAACGATAATTTTAACAATAGAACTTTTGCCACGTTGCCAATTTTCAATAGCTCGGACTGTTATTAAAATTAAATCTATGTTAACTTAATTTTATTTGTCAAGCATAAAAATGTGTTGATGGAGGAGTCCAATTTTGTAATATGTTTACTTTTTATGCAACTTTTTGCCAATTTCAGCCAATTGCGATGTTGCCAAATTTTACCAAATTTTTATTCCAACATTTATTTAGTTTAAATATGAAAAAAGAATTTCGAAAAAAAATGTATTCATACTAATAAGTTTTCTGTGGCAAAAATTTAAAGCTTTATAAGTGTCCAAAGAAACATGTTGCTGTGTTGCTGTCGAAAATTTTAATTTAATTAAAAATATAGTTTCGCAGCGCTTACAAAAAAAATGTATAAATAGTATCTTTAAAAAGTTCTTCCGAAAAATTTTTGCAACGTTGCCAGCTTTCACTAGTTCAAACTTTTATTAGAAAGAAATATACATAGTAAAAAATATTAGTAGAGATTATGAAAAATATATTGAAAAGTAGGCCTAAAAGTTTTAATATGAATGCCCCGTTGTCAATTTTCACCTACAAATAATTTTTTGCTCGTTTGTTGTCAAAAGAAACTTGTACGACCTGTTTCAGTTTCATGAAATTTAAATTAATTGTTTGGCAGGATGTGTACAATTTGCAGTGATTCCAACTTAAGGTTAATTCCCTCCCAAACTCCCAAAACTATAAAACCAGAAAGTAAATTTCTAAATATTTTGAATTTAAGAATAAATTCTATAATTCCGGTGATGGTTTTTGGAAAGTTTGCATTTTTCATAGAAATTTGGTAAAAGTACGTTAAAAAATTTACAATTTAATCAGCGTTGAAAGTTTTTTTCATAGTTTACGTAGTCACAAAAGTTACTACGGTAGTCGAAATATTGTTCCAAGTCCATAAAAAAGTTAAGAAATTAAATTTTCATTTTTTTTTTTGTTTTCAATTTACAATTGTCTGTCTTTTACTCTCACACAACGTCCCATTTAAGTAAACTTTTAATCTAAGCCTGGCATTCGGAATATAAAAACATATTAATAGCTCACATTGCATTGTTGCCAATTTTCAGTGTCGTCATTCTTTGCAGCCGGCCTGTTGCCAATTTTCAACAATTCCTTTCTTTACCTTTGTTTGAGCTGTTATATTTCTTTGTTTTTCCCCCTCTTTCAGCGTTGTCGAAATTTGTCAACAATTTCACAGTGGAAATGGTAGCAGCGGTGGTAGCTCTGGACTTTCAGTACTACGCACATTCCGCTTGCTGCGCATACTCAAACTCGTGCGTTTCATGCCCAATTTGCGTAGGCAACTATTCGTAATGTTGCGGACCATGGACAATGTGGCTGTGTTCTTTTCGCTGCTTGTGCTCTTCATATTCATATTCAGGTAAGATTTTGTTTCGAATTTAAATCGGAGTATTTTTGCTATAACTTACTTTTAAGGCAAATCGTATTTATTAGTATTAAAAATTCTCGTATTTAGAAACTACTTGTAAATTTAAAGTACGTATATTAATATAAAAAAAAATCAACAATTTTAGAAGTTTAAAAAAGTTAGGCAACTTTTAGCGAAAGAAATTTGTGAAAGGTATACACCTAATGTGAGGTAACACTGCTTACTAACACACTAAAAATACACACACTAACTCCAGTTTTTAAATAAAATACTATTTTGTACAGTAAATACTTCAAATCATACCGTTTAGTACATATATTTTCTTCGTACAAATTTCATCAGAATAGTAGTGAGGGATTTTTTCCTACGTATTAGAAAAAATTATCAGAAATAAACAAGCATACATAGAATTCAATCAATAACTAACGTTTTCGGCCAATCAACTATCCAACCATGCTCTATTATAACATATTAAATATAACTTTCTATAATTTTAGTTTTTTGCCTCCACCCCCCGAAATAAAATATTTACATCTTTCAATCTTACTTGCCTAGTAAAGTATTTGCTCTCTCTCTCTCTCTTACACTAATATTATTAATATTTCCAATCACCCTTGTTAGCATTTGTTACAATCCTAAGTTAACCTATTTTTCTTGTTAAAGCTCCAAAGTGCATTTTCATTTCTAACTTTCAGCAGCAGCCATTCTCAAGCACTGGTTCTCCCAAAAAAAATAGCCTCTCTTTTGCATTTTTTCTCCGTAAAGCTTTAACACTCTCTTCCGTTTTTCAGACTATTTAAAAAAAAAAACATTGCTGAAATTTGTTTAATACCTACACATGTATTCATTACTTTTCACATATTTAGCCATAGAAGTTTTGTTTTAAGTTATATCAGATATACATACATATTAGAAGTAAATCAGTTAAGAAGTATACATATGTACATTTAAAAAATTCATTTATGAAATTAGTTTTTAAGCTCAAAATCATCGAAAGACATTCGATAATAGTTATTGAATCTGCAGTAGCCCTTCATATAATAAACATTGAAAAATTATATTCACCAAAACGCTTTAACTCATTCAAGACACAAACCATTCAAACAAACGCCAAGGCATATACCATTTTTAGTAAACGCCAGCTAAATTTCTTAAGATGTTTAGAACTTTAATTGCTGCCCCAATAGCACATCTGTTCAAGAAATACTTCCAATGCTGCTGTGTTGCCAAATTTCATGAACGCAACACCAATTTTTCAAATGCGCTATTGCCACACTTCATACGAAGAACTTGGCTATGTATCAAATCTATTTAGAATCGCCCAAATAATAAAATTTAAAAGAGCCCTTTCTTCAAAAGCACTGTTGCCAGTTTTCACTCATGAGTCACTTACGAAATAGAGCATTGGAGAAAGCTAATTAATTTATTTAAAGCCAAGGTCTCAGTCCGCTTAAAACATATTTACCATTTTTTAGTTGCCTATTAAATATAGTATTTTTAAAGAGACCGCAACACTTTTGCAGATTCTCGCATTCGAAATGTCGTACGGTAAAAAATATTAAGAATAAACAAGGGTAAAAAATAAATACTACTGCTTAATGTTCCCATGTCTATTAGTATGCGTCGGAGCATAGTTGCCAATTTTCCTTTAACGTAGTTGAGCAAGGTTTACATGCTTGATTGATAGTATGTGGTAGTATAAAGTTGATGCACTGTTGCCAAGTTTCTTCAAAGGCTGGTAAATGCCAGACAAATTTTCGATTTAAAGCTGCAGGATATTTTATCAAATTTTCCCCAGGTTTAAGCCAAGAAATCGGGTTAAAAATACCGGCGTAATGTTGCCAAGTTTCTTTGCCTCATTTCTAACTTATAATATAACGATTGGAATAAAAAGAACTTTGGCGGTTAGAAACAAAAATGATTTCTTTACACTTGTTGAATAACGTTGCCAATTGTTTTTATTTTTTTAGTATAAGTGTGTAGACACTTTTGCCTAACCTCTTAGTAGAATTCAAGAGATGGTGGCTAAGCCTCGTGCTGAACACTAACTGAACAATGTTGCCAATTTTCTTAAACACTTTTTTACTATTGGTGACTAAACACTGTTGCCAAATTGGTTCGACGATTTTTTTTTGCAACCGTATATTTACTGAACAACATTGCACCAAAGCTTGTTAAAATGAAATAGAGGAAAGTTAGTTCTCTAGTGGTGGACGGGTTTACATACGTTCCCTCCGCGAATACAACTAACAAATATTAGGTAAATTTCTACTAAGAAATATCGGCTATAGAAAATTTAAGTTTTTATAGTCAAATTTCTATGAATTCCCTGCGAGTCTTAAATTTTCAAAAACCATCAGTTTCGCCGTCTNGTTAACATGAAATAGAGGAAAGTTAGTTCTCTAGTGGTGGACGGGTTTACATACGTTCCCTCCGCGAATACAACTAACAACTATTAGGTAAATTTCTACTAAGAAATATCGGCTATAGAAAATTTAAGTTTTTATAGTCAAATTTCTCTGAATTCCCTGCGAGTCTTAAATTTTCAAAAACCATCAGTTTCGCCGTCTTTTACTCTTGAAATCATTAGTACTTCAGTAGTATTTTCTCAGCTTAACTCAATATTTTCCACAAATTAATTTTTTTTTAGTGCTGTGTTGCTAATTTTTCTAAAATACTTTCACTTTTTATCAATAAAATTCAATTGAGTTCCACAACATAAATACATACATACGTTAAGGTCTCAAAAGGTTAAGAAACTTTCGGAAGAAAGAATTGTCACGTTGCCAAATTTCAGTAGAAAAAACTTAGACCGTAAATTGCAAAATTTTAACCCTGGATAAAATTTAATGCCGCGGAGCTACACAATTTTTCATATTTTCTTCTACAGAAATTTACACGACAATGATTTGCGATGTTGCCAATTTTCAGCAAAAAAAATTAAGTTTGTCGAACATAACGAGAATTCATAATGTATTTAAATTGCATAACACTTTCCATGAAAATCTGAATATCTAGAAAAGAATAGTTAAAAATTTGCTTAAAGAAATAATTAATTGAAAATTTTAATTTTCAAGTAGCTCTACAAGCTCATCAGTAAAGGCTTCCGTTATTGAAAGTCAGCACCACACCCTGGAATTTTTATATTTATTAAAAAATAATGCAGTTTTTCCAACTCTTTTCTCTATCAAAATTAAAGAAATGCTAAAACATTATGCCAAGCCTAAATTCATTCATTGATTTGAGAGTGTACAAAATCATAGTATTCGCTAAAATGAATTTCCTTTTTTTTCAAGATGAAAATATTCTTAATAACGTATTTCAGATAAAGCTTTTTCATATTTTTTATAAAATCGGTTCTAATTATTTTTTTGTTAAATATTTTTTAAGCCGTGATTTTTTATTTTTCCTTAAAACAAATATTCATAAGANCTTTTTTTCAAGATGAAAATATTCTTAATAACGTATTTCAGATAAAGCTTTTTTCATATTTTTTATAAAATCGGTTCTAATTATTTTTTTTGTTAAATCTTTTTTAAGCCGTGATTTTTTATTTTTCCTTAAAACAAATATTCATAAGAAAACTAATATTTTAGATGTTTTTTTAAAATATAGAAAAAAGCATAGTTTCTACCTAAAATAAAATATATATTTTACCAAAAATTTAAGTTGTAAAAAAGGTGCGACATACTTTTGATTTTAAGACTAAACATTTATGTTCGGTTTGATGCAAAGACATCGCAAATTTGAATTTAGAAAATTATTTATAAATTTTTTTTTTTTCGAACAAACTTGTATTCATGTTCATAGATCTTAAATTTGTTCAGTCTTTATTATACCTCGTTTTCACACTGATTTTTAGTGAAAAGCCCACATCTTCAATCAAACAAAAAACTTCATACAAATTTTTAGAATGAGAAATTTTTCTACTTTTCTGGAGGGCAAAATTTCCACTTAACTTCTTTAGTAAAACATAACATTTGTTCTTCGATATTTTTAGTTTCTTTTTTCCCACTTAAAATAACTGTATAGCTCATAGTCAAGAAAAAAATATATTTTTTTTAATTTTCTTTTGATTTTTAATTTAAATATTTCCATCTTCCGTATTTCCAAATTTTTCTTTTGGTTTTATATTTTCATANGTCCACTTAACTTCTTTAGTAAAACACAACATTTGTTCTTCGATATTTTTAGTTTCTTTTTTCCCACTTAAAATAACTGTATAGCTCATAGTCAAGAAAAAAATATATTTTTTTAATTTTCTTTTGATTTTTAATTTAAATATTTTCCATCTTCCGTATTTCCAAATTTTTCTTTTGGTTTTATATTTTCATATGGATTAGAAAAAAAAGAGGCCTTAAATTTTCGCAAACCATTTTCTGCTAAAAATCTCCGATTTTCATGCTAAATAATTTTAAGACACTTTATTCCACTAATTTTTGTGTAGTTAGTTAAAATTTCAATTCTAGGTCTAATTGAAATTTGTTTAAAAACATTATGTAAATTTTATTTTCAACAATTTAACTTTTTCAATTTTTATATATTTTTTTCTTTAAAGAATATTTCAATAAAAAAAAAACTGATTTTAACTGAAAAGCTTAAGCTTGACCTACATACATCATTTTTCACTTGACATTCCACAAGTGTCGTACATCACGCTCTCAGCTTAATAAAACTGTTCGCTCACGCTCTCTACTCGCTCTGTCACTTTCTTTCTTACCATTCAACAAAAGCTTCTCAAAAAGCATTAAAATTTCTTCACAAAAACAACACAGACTAAATTAGTGCTATAGCATTTATTACATTTGAGTGGTAAAAAATTAGTAAAAATATAGAAAATATTTAGTTAGTTTGGCAATCGATGTGTGTACTTTAGTCGAAATAGAATTTAGTGTAACTTCATTTTCGTGCTCATACAGTCAAAAGCTCAGAACCATTCGGAAAGTCAAAAAATAAAAGAATAAAAATTCCAAAATTTCTCTCTTTCTCTCTCTCTACACACACT